ATATATATATATATATATATATATATATATATATATATATATATATAGAAAGTTACATATTTACAAGAGGGAATTGTGCAGGAGATTCTTATAGAATGAACAGTGATGCTGCCATGTTACTGTTGGAGAATATATATGTTAGTGTATATATGTGTAGAGAGATTTTTTTTTCTTTTATCCTAAGTTGTACGTGATAAACAAAAAAAGACTCACCTTTGCATGTATTAGAAATCTTTCCTTGGACTCCTTCCAATGATGTGACATTGGAATAGTTTGAATATATATATTTTTCCAGACAATTAAACTGCCTCTCTACTAGGACAGCATTTTTGATGCAATGGGCAATGAGAATGTATTTAGGTCACATCTGTGAAGTTATGTTGTTGCCATCATCCTCAATGTGTCTTATTTATAGCCTTTAAGCGCAGTAGGCCCAAATACCTTTCGCTTGCTAATTTAAATCCCTGCAAACTAAACTCTGTTTTATAAACATAAAAAGGTTAGATGTAACAGAGTTTTGTTATGGACACGGAATTTACCCTCTGCTTTATCCATCCATCATCATTGTTGTTATAATTCCCTGATGGGGTCGCGGGGAGAACTGGAGCCTATCCCAGTGGTCAACGGGCGAGAGGCGGGGTACACCCTGGACAGTCCGCCAGTCCATCACAGGGCCACACACAAGACATACAAGGACAAACAACCACACACACTCACATTAACTCCTAAGGGCAATTTGGAATGTCCAATCAACCTAACATGCAGGTTTTTGGACTGTGGGAGGAAGCCAGAGAACCCTTTGAGAACCCACGCAGACACAGGGAGAACATGCAAACTCCACCCAGAAAGGTCCTGGTTCCCCCGGGACTCTAACCCAGAACCTTCTTGCTGTGAGTCGACGGTGCTTACCACCACGCCACCGTGTCGCCCCCCCTCTGCTTAATCATATTTTCTTTATTTATCTTTTGTTTTCATTGAGACGGTGAGCATTTCCCCTTAGAATTTGTTCCATTCCATTCTCATAAGCACTTTATGCTTTCTTTTTAAACACTGAAAATCGCACACTCCCCCCCCAAATACCTTGACTGTTGAGATGAACTGGACCTGTTTGTGATGTCTTTGTTAAAGCTTAACTTCTTATAAAAAATATATATATTATTCAGATTTTTAAACAGTCTTAGTTTATACTTAATTAGTAAGTATTTCATCTTTATGATGGTAAATATTTTGTCCTCAGTCATATCATCATAAAGTCACTCTTCATGCTACAGAACTAATAGAGAGGAAATTGTTTTTAATTATTCACAAAGTAGCTAATGAAACTCACAATGTTTAAAGCAACACTTTGGAAGATTTTTTAACTTCAACACTACGTGTTTCTTATTCATGTCGAAATACGCTGGCTTTGACTGTTTGTCTTCCATTGCCTGAAACTGCCCTACAACACCCTTGAGGGCTGTTAACCACATTTCACAACTTTGCTTTCCAGCCCTGCACCACACTGTTGTGTTTTATTGTGTTTTGACATTTTTGTGGGCCAGTAATTGTGTCTTTGCTGCTTTTCAACCTAACCACAAATCTATATGTAGATTTATACATTTGCAGGGCTCTCAGAGATTTATAACCTTGGTGTTTTATTCTACAACGGAATTCGGAGCCAAGCGGGAGAAAATAGTCAAATTCTCTAGTGTTACCATTATTGTTTAAATGAATGCATTTTACCTTTGCAGGAGTTGTTTTGATAATTCTTAGGAGATCAGTAAATTCTTGTAACAATTCAGTCAGTTCAAATTTAAATTAAGTGCTGGTGCAAAAAAACAATTTTACATCCATTCCTACATTGATAATGGATATTCTGCAGCTAAAAGATTTTGTTTTTAAGTTTTCGTTTTTTTAAAACACCTCCTGAACCAGCATTCTTCATCTTTTTTTTCATTTAATGTAAAAAAATAAATATTTTTTTAAGTCTGTCGGGGGTTATTTTACCGATTTTGTGACTGCATGAATCCCTGGAATTTACAAGGGTTGTGTATTTACTTTAAAACGTAAGATAACTTTTGTTTTATTTTCTTGTTTACTAAAATTGTCATTTGTCTTGTTTAACTTGTGTGATGTTTATGTAAACAAGTGAAGCCTAAAAGCATATGGTGGTCAGCTTTTTATGCACATGTAGAAGCTGTTGCTTGGTACTATGTTTTATACTGCAATATATTGTTTGTTCTTATTTTTTCTGCAACACCTACAAAAGTTGTTTATGTCAGAGTAACTATAGACTAGCTTTGTATATTGCTGTATGGTAGGAATAACGTTTTTAGTGCTTAATGTGATATGATGTCAAAGTGAGAAAATGCACTGATAATTGGTGTGCTGCAATACATCTTTGAGACTCTATATTCTCTGGATATCCAGAATCCAGAGACTGACATTTCCGCGGGTTCTTTCTTTTTTTTGTTCTTTCCTTATCTTTATTCTCGTAGATAGCATTCTTTGAGAAATTGTCATGTTGACCTTCTCCTTTTTGTGGATAAGAATTCAGGCATTCATTGGTATTATACCAATGTTTACAGAGACACTTGTTTACAACAGAGAAATGTTATCTTTTTTTCTCTACTTCAAATAATTCAGATAGCTTTCACACAAACTGGAAAAACAGACAAAAGCGCCATCAATAATTCAAATAATTTAGCTGTTTACACAAAATTGTGAATGATACATGTAAATGTAAGACAATAACAATCAGTATAACCAAATACATTTTGTTTTGTGAGTTTATGAATATCAGTGGGTATTTAGAAATCTCAGATTTTATTCTTTAAGTTCAAACCCAAAAAGCACCTCTTGTGATATCAAAAGGCCTCAGAAAGTTATCTGTTAAGATAAAAATAACATCATACATTTTTATACAATTTTGTTTTCAATAAATCTATCATGAACATATTTATTTGGTCAAAACCAAAGTTCATAAGAGCTACAATCAAAATAATAGTGAGAAAATGTATCCTTATACTTTGTTATGTTGCTCATAGGGAGAGTAAATATTTTAGTTTTTACTGAAAAACTTATAGATGATTTAAATATCCCATACAGAACTTTCCTTTGTGGATGATTATAAAGGTATTTAAGTAAGTTGTGTTTTTGTTTTAATTAGACACTAATTTTTCCTATGTTTTTAAAAATTTTCTGTTAAACCCTACTTTGTTGTGGTGTTAACATACGTACAATATTTAATGTCTTATCGGGGAAATAAAATATAGACTTGGAAAATATCAGGAAAAAATATTTGCAGTCACGATAAATGTTGACGCAGACTGACATTATGACTTATGAATATATTGAAATAAACATGTGAAATCAGAAAGATGAAGCTGGTTCAGTAAGGTCAGTCAGTAGATAACCAACAGTTAGGAAAGCTGAATGTGCATTCAGAGGGAAGCCCAGTGCTCAAGTCTCATACAATGGCAGCTAAATTAATTTGTATTGTATTTTTTTTCTGAGCAAGGTGAGACATTTCCAAACTTTTAAAAAGCATTTTGCTACCGTGATGAGGTGCACTGTGTACTATGCTCCCATAGTGTACTTGGAGCAACAGGAAACAAGCTCATACAATATGCAAAATTTCGCATTCTGCAGCACAGCTTGGTGAGTCTTTTTTTTTTAAGCTAACCCTTTAAAAGTGACTTCTTAAAACTCTCTAATTGTGGGTTTTCTTTTCTAACTGTTTAATTGGACCAAAATAATTCAAGTTAGCCGTATATATGTGCTGTAATGAATATGAAATATACTTCTGTTTAAACTGTACCTAATGTTTTATTTGTGCGATGGCTTATGTCTTTGTATTTTTGCTTTATTATTTGTAAATATTAATAAAATATATCTGACTAACAAAGGAAACACTTTTCTTACAAACCTCACAGCAGTTGCAAGATTGAGCTAATTTAACAAGAGACAAATAAAGGCTTTTTGTCATGGTATTGTTGCTCCCAATAAGTTGGACTTTCTCACCCACAGTCACAGAAGGCAAGAGTTACTTCAGTTTCAGCAGGTCTACACAAGCTACCAGTTTTTCATACTCACTATAAATGGTGCCATAAAGAAAGGTGAGTAAGTAAAAATTACAACACATAATAGATAATTAATTATACATGTGTGTAGTTGAATGTATCTATTCATTTAATGTATTCACTGAACAAATTATTTGAGTAATTATTTACCATATTTATCAATTTATTTAATACACGTGATGATGGTGCTCTCGATATTAATTATCTTCTCACAGTGAAGCAATTCAGGTGCTTAGAATAATCCCATTTTTTCCTTTTTTAAATTTAGTTTTTTATCATCCCAGCTGATTTTATATTTTAATGATGCATCTATTTATGTTTTGGTGTCATTGAATGTGTTTCATAATAGCAAATTTGGACAATATAACCTGAAATGCTTCATCAATTGTTATGGTTTATTAGATAAGTAATGTGCAAAGTGTTGGCAAATTTTCAAAGTGGAACAGCTTTGATGTGCAAACTTTAATTGTGTATTGATTTTGTTTTGAGTGTTTATGAGTGTTCATAAGAAAATAAAATGATTACGAGATAGAATCTTAAGTATATTGTGATATCGTGTGTGTCGACAGTGCAATGACTATTTGTCATTTTCATTTTATATTTCATTAAAGCAATCAAAGTACTGCAGTTACTTTTTATTGAATGAAGAACATACTATTAAAGAACAATGAACTAAATGATTTTGCCGATTTCGGTACCTTGTGAGAAATACATGCCTAAAACAAAGGCATATGCTAACCCCAAAAGGATCAGACAGGTCTGAAGACCATATTCTAGAAAGAGTAGGACTCCATCTATTGGTGGAAATTTTTAATAAAAACTTAACTTCTTATTTCTAAATCATTGGCAAGATTGTAACATTTACTAATATTCACATTTATTTTAACATTATTTAACATTTGATTTTCCTGCCAAAAAGTATGCATGATACAGGTGGAGTGGCTGATTAAAGTAAAAACGTATTATAGAAGACCAACCATCAGGATTATTTAAGCAAATCATGGATATTTTAGTTCCACTGTTAGTTGTTAATATCGAATTGTTTTTGTTTTTTTCAGAATAAAATTATGTTTACCTTTGATGGACTGGCAACCCATCCAAACTATGCGCGCAACTGTCTGGAACAACTGATGATGGTCAAAGCCAATAATGTTTTTTCCCCTTGAATTTTGGACGATTTTTCAGTCTGCCGATGGATTTCTTGTCAATAAAAAAAAAAAAAAAAATATATATATATATATATATACAATTTACCCTCTTACATCTGTGTAAAATTAATTTCCACGTTTAACACACACACACACATACGGAGTACACTCCACCGAGGTTGCATAGAGCAGGGAATGTTTACTCGGTTGCGTCCAGACGTCATGGCGCAGACATTGTATCCCAGCATGCAGCAGGAGGCCTTTGAGAGAACCAGCAGCTGGTAGTGAGTTGAAAGAGCACCGAGCAGGCAGCAGCCTACGGTCAACATAGCCCACACGTTTCCTACTCCATGTGAGATAAACTGACCCATCTACCTTACATGCTACAGAAAATATGCTGTTCGGGTGCCCGATGTGTTCCCGAAGCGGATTTTGAGTCAAGATTGTCACCCGGCTTTCAATTTGGAGGATTCCTCCCTCAATCCTCCGGATCGCACCGAATAGGCAATGACAACGGTCCCAGCAACCCCGCGGCAGATGAGGGACCGGCTGCTGCAGGCCATTGACAGTCAAAGCAATGTGAGTAACGTTAAAGCTAACAGGGTACCTAGCTAGCCTAATCTTATTTATTTACACTATAACAAACTTGACAATGCAATTCAGCCGCCCTCTGTCAGTAAATTGTTTTGCTACGTATTAAAAGAGAACACATAATTGTTCAGTTGGCACCTATATCTCAAATGTCTTGGAGATACTGAGGTACAGGGCTCTTGAGTTGACAGCTAGCTTAAATGCTAATTCGGCATCAGCAGTGGTGCCGACATTAGACAGATATCTGCCGTTACTTAGCATGCTAACTGCTATCTTAGCCTAAGACCATAGCTGTGTCAGTGAATGCAACGGTATGAAGGTACATAATCCACGCAATTTCTTAAGAAATAGTGGTTTCTCTTCACGGTTCAAATAAGTTACATTACATTATCATGGTTTCTTCGCAGATTGTTGTACATTACTATTACAAATGATTGGAGATTGGAACTTACTCCTAGCTCAAAGACCTTAAATATACGTTTTAGGAAATAGTCGGATCCTTCCATCTCAACTGTGTGAAATGCTAACTGTAGCCAAATTAGCAAATACAGGTAGATCCACCGAAATGAACATTTTGATGGACTTTATTATTAAAAAACGAATTTAGTTTTATTTCGTGATTGTATGCCCCCATTATTTTCATGTGCTACACCTTTTTTTAAGATGTTTACAAAGGCGAAGGCAATTTTAGTTGTCACTTTGCCATCTCTACTTCGCAAAGCCGTTCCGTCTGAGGAAGACAGACAAGCTAATAGTCCTCCAACCTAAACCCACTGGAGTTGAATGCTGCTTATTGTATTATCAAAGACACTTTTTGTGGGACTAAATCGTTTGTTTCTCCTGTAAAAGGTGTCTTTATTTGTTATCTTTCTAGCGAGCTTAAATTAAACAATAGTTTTGTCTTATTGCAGATATGTAATATGGTGGCTGTTCTGGAAGTAATAACCTGTCTAGAGAGGTATCCTATCACCAAAGAAGCACTTGAGGTAAGAATTAATTTTTTCTGTATTTTACATAGGATATTACATAAAATGAAGATCAAATAATTCATACTTTGCATACAATATTATTGCAGGAAACTCGACTTGGGAAATTAATCAATGATGTTAGGAAGAAGACCAAGGATGAAGACCTTGCAAAGCGTGCAAAGAAACTTTTGAGAAACTGGCAAAAGCTTATTGAGCCTGGGCCGGTTGTATCAGCTATTGTTCCTGGGTCCACCAATGGCAGTTCTCATCCCTGCAGAACAGATTCCTCTCATTCTGACATTTCTGTATCAGTGAAAGGAGTCCCCGAAGTTAAAATCAGAAACGATGTACACAACACATATTCACCGAAAGCTGAGAAATCAAGCGGCCGCAAGCGTCGGGCAGAGAACAGAGACAGTGGAGTCCATTTACCAGAGAAAATTGCTAAGATGGCTTCATATGATAATTCTGTTTCACCACCACCTACCAATGGGATTGCTGCCAGTCCAATTGCTGTGCCTGATCAGGAGGTTGTTCCTTCTCCTGAAAGATCTCGTATAGACCACCTTGATAATGACAAAGTGAACAGAATTCCAGTTAATGCTGTCAAGCCTCGCCCTAGCTCCCCAGGAGTAGCCAAACAACCTAGCACTTCCTCTCTGATCAAAGTTGCTGTGATGCAGCAACAGGCAAGATTGGATGAAGGAGGGGGGACTTATCAAGCCAAAAGTCCCCGCAGTGTCACTTCTAGTCCAAGAAGCCTGAAGCAAGATACAGTAACCAAGCGCTCGTCTGCATATGCAGCAAAAGGAACACCAGTCCCAAGCCCCTCTTCCAGAGACTCTCCTTTGTCTGATTCCCAACCACTGTCCTCCCCAGGCCAAGCATCTTGTATTGAAAAGCTTCCAAAGTGTTCACAAAAATCCTTAATGCACTCTGCAAGTTCATCAGAAGTCCCTTTTCATTGCCCACTTCAAGACTTATCTGCAACACTGGAATCCCCATCTGTATCACCCTCCCCTCTTCTCTCTCAACAGAACTCAGAATTACAAAGATCAAAATTTGAGGCAGCAGTGACTGTATCTGATGATGTAGATGGGACAACCATACTTAACTCTGAGCATAAAAGGAGGAAGTATAGATCTAGAGATTACTCTGTCAACATAGATGGCCAGAGAATAGATGACATAACCAAGCCTGTACGGTTAAAAGAACGCAGACTAACGTTTGACCCGGTCACTGGTCAGATTAAACCTCTAGTCCATAAAGAATCTTCGCAAACAGAGGAGTCCCCGAGTCCTGCAGAGTTTAGGCAGAGAACTGAAAGCACTGTACAAGCGCCTACTGACACAACCCCAACCCCAACCCCAACCCCAGGTCCCAGCCCTAACCCTTTCCTCAAGACAAATTGGAAGGAGCTGTCTAGAAATGAAATCATCCAATCCTACTTGAACCTTCAGAGCAACATGCTCAACTCCTCAGGGGTTCAAGCCCCTAGCGCACACTTTTTCATGTCAGAATATCTGAAAAGGGAAGAACAGGAGATCAAGGAGTTAAAGAAAACGCACGTTTTACAGACGGACAGTTCTATTGGGGACTTACCAGGGGTCAGCCGGGAGTTGACAGGTGATGACTTGGACAGGATACACACCAAGCACTGGGCGGGAGTGAATGGATGTTACGATACCAAGGGTACCTGGTATGATTGGACAGAGTGCATATCACTGGACCCTCATGGGGACGAAAGCAAACTGAATATCCTGCCATATGTTTGCCTTGACTGAAGGGTTTGGGAAGATTGCAGTCTCTTTTCCACTCCTTTTTTTGTCTTTTCTCACAGAAACAGGATACTTTGTGATTTTGTTTGTCCACAGTGAGTTTGGCAAGACCCAGGCCTGCTAAACTCCCTTCCTCATACCTCTTTCTGTGATAATCTGTTAAGATTTTGGTATTAAAAGCATAATGATTAAAATAATAGTTGAGTTTGTAACACCAAGGGCTGTTTCTGTTCTATTTTTCAAACTGAAATCCACAGGAATTATGATGCCCATGTTGCAAATATCTGCTATCAGTTTAGGCAAAAAAACAAAAAACAAATGGACGCTCATTACTCAACCTAGAATGTTATTGGAATGTGAATTTTTCATTTTACCCTTATTTCAGGCACACTGAGTTGATTTTGTTAATTTCCTTTGTTTCTGTTAAGGAGTTGGAAGTGCGGGTTAAGTTGGAGGGAGGGTTGGGTTTTAGCTGTCCTCATCCAGATCCCCACTTTGATGTCCAGAAGGGTGTTCATAAAGTTCAACTAGTACGATCAGAAATGTCCAGAATATGAAATGCTGGAACATATCTGGCATTTATAAGAGGCTTTATGTGAAAGTAAATTACATTTAGAGTAAATTATAAATTTCTTATCATGTGTGCATATATTTATTTTTGGACAGTTCATTTTCATCAAAACAGCTTTTGAAAATATACTCTAGACAATGTTTTTTTTCTGTTTAGAATAGGATGTTATGAGCTTCATCTTCAACACTAGGGGGAAGGGCAGCAAGTCATTGCTTGGTCTTTCTGTGATAATGGCCTAATAATTTTGGTAAATAACATTCCAAAGTCCACCTTTCACCTATTTCACACTTGGTTTCATCAGAGCTCCTATAGGTTCATGCTGTCAAAAGCGGCAGTTCATTCTTAAAACTGCCTTGGTATCAAAAAGTTCCATACAAGTAGTGTGATGTAAATTTAAAATAAAACAACATACATCATTATCTCCTAAAATGCAGTGGCAAATCAAGCAGTTTTGATTTAGTGTATTTGATCAACTGAAGCAAGGATATGTTTGAATGCTGGAACTCGCTTGTTCTGTTCCCTTTGATACTGTTTGCCTTCTGAAATTCGAGTTTGACAGCCTTAGCGGATGCCTAGCATTAAGAACTCTACTGCAGTTGTACATAAGTTATAATTTTGTCACTCATTTCATCACTGACTTAATTCAAACTTGAGAAGTATCTGATGCTCCCTCAAATTGCCCAAGTTATGAGCCCATGTTTTTTTCAGAATTTTGGATGTGTTAATACAGTAGCATTATTTTGCTTCCATTTTTAAATTTAGTGAACGTAAAAGGGAGAAACGAAAACTGTGAGAATCAGATTTTCTGTGTCATGAGCTTTTGATGCTTCAATTTGATTTTCATATGCAACAGATTTTACCACTTTTCTCACTATTTAAATCAAGCTAGGCCACTGTGCTGCATCCCTGACCATTCGTTCTTTCATTCATCCCCACCAATGTGCCTTGGTAAAATGTAAATCTTCCGCATTAAACATGCCTGCCTGGAGCTTGGTTTATGTGCGAGAAATACAAATCTCCTGATAAATATGATGCTGGTTTATGCACCGTTTTCTGTTACAGTTTTGTACCCAGTGATCTAGGGAAGGTGACGTTGCAGATGATGGTAAACTGCACAACCACACAGCTGGCAATAAAATATAAATGCTACAACTGGTTAATCTGTTTGTTTATTCCTGGAGCTTTTGCTGGACCATTTCTTTTGTTCATTTTTTAACATCTCTCAATTATCTGAAAAATAAAATGTCTAAATTTGCAAGTTTATCAACTGGCTTGTGGGTCCCCTGCAGTTCCATTTGGTCAGATGATTTTTATCATCTAAGAGGCCATGTCCAGTTTTTAAAACAGCCATAGCTCTGTGATCCACTTTCATGTTGTACTTACAGTTTATCCATAGGGGGTGCACATTATGCCTCTTCGCAATGTACAGTCTGTCTTTATTCATAGATTGATTTGGGATGTACGGTATATTTATCACCTCAAGATTTTAAATATTTTAATGGCCTTTTTTGTACAAAAGTTATATTTTTATTGTTATCTACTAATGCATATTGGTGACTGGGTGGAATGGGCTCAACGTCACTCCTTTCATCACTGCCAGCTGACACATGCTTATTGTAGACAAAGGGATGTGGAACCTACCACCCCCAGGTGCATTTAGACTCTGAATCAGTTCTGCTCACACCTGGATGACGTAATTTTCATCTCGGAAACAGATGTCCTCAGAAGAAGACATGCTCTCAGACTGTTAAGACTGCTTTAGTCACTGAGTCACTAGGCTCAAGTTTTTTTTAATCAGTTTACAATCATGATTTCACAAGAAGGTTCTGGTTACAATATAAAGCAAATGCTTTTAAAGTCACAACAAAGTATGTTGAAGCTTAAATATGTAATTTGAATTATCTGGATTAAATGTTCAGTTTAGCGTTGTATTAAAAAGAAATAAGGAACCAGTCAGCACGTTTACTTTTCCATCTTAAAGGAAAGGGAAAGCAGAGTCCTTCTATACATTCATGTCAAAAGGAGCTACCTGTTTTGTTGAATAATTATAACTCAAAATGTTCAAATGGTGCTTCGTGTTGATGCTTTTTTTTCCTTATTTCATGTGGGGAAAGGCTTGATTATATAAAAACTGAAAAAATCTCCAGGAGAAGCTTTATTTTACTATCAGGGAGAGTATTTTTAACCCTCACAAATTCTCCCATGGCAGGACAGTTTAAATCAAACGATACACCACCAGCATTACATCACTGTAGTGGCTCGCTGAGCTTCAGTTCTTAAAAAACTTTTTGGTTTGAGTCAAAGAAATGCGACAATTTGTCTCGGCGCTGCACGTCTGGAATGCAGGGTGGGCCCGCTGGATCACTCCCACCATTCAGGAATCGGGGAAGTTTCCTTCCATATAAGGAGTCTTTTATATAAATCGCAATCCACAGGAAGAGCTGACGAAGGTGGAGCCAGGAATCGATCACTACAATGTCAAACAAAGAGTATTACGGAGAGTAAGAGGAGTACAGTCTGTATTTTAGATGTGTGCTGATTGCAAGTCATGCATGAGTCAATATAAGATAAACTATAGTTAATACGGTTTATGTGGATAGCTGTTAACTTTAAGGAACCAATATTTCTCAGAAGGTTTTAATCTTATTTTACAACAGAACACAAATAATGCGCAAGCACACAAGTCATTTAGTGCTTTGCAATTGAAGGCTACGAGTTAGATGTTTATATTTGAATTAAATGTTTTCTTATTGAAATTGCATTTAATTACTGAGTGACCAACACAGCAACATATTAATCTTGTAAAAAAGAGATGTTCTGAACATTCATGAATTATTTTGTTAGCCCCGCAAACCCCACGTTTTCCTTTCCCAGTCATTGGACTGTAACAGACATACGTCAGCGAACTATCTTGACATGTGAGTCTTGGCTCTTTGTAGAATCCGTGGGAGCGCTCTAATTGGCGGCCGTAAAACTGAAGGGAAGTATTTAGTTCTCTCCGAGGTTTCATTGGAAGAGAAAGTCAGAGATAATTAAGCACAGTTTTCTGTATAGAAGTCGGAGTGCCGCGTTTATTCACAGAGCAAAAACCGTCACAACAAACTGACTATGTCTTTCAACAAAGGTCCAGCTTATGGTTTATCAGCCGAAGTAAAAAACAAGGTAAGAAAACTTATTTTCATCCACTATATAAAACTACTCGTGATTAATTTGTCGTCCATCAGTAGTTCATGCTTTTTTTTTAATATTCTCACATCGCGAGCGACAGAGACACCTTGCTTCCATTTTGATATAAATGCTCAGGTTAAAAAGAAGAAGGAAAAAATAAAATAAATCGACAGACAAAGCCGGGATGTAAAAGTTTTATGTAAAAGTTTTCTCAAGTAAAGTCAATTGTAAGTTGAGAACATGTCCGCATTTCGCGTAACCAAGCTAAACCGTTCATGTTTCCTAATACGTGACACTTAGACTTTAACTTGAAACGTATGGGCGTTGCCCTTCTTGGCAAAGAAGCGTGTCCTTGTGGCAAAACTGTCCTGGTTTCCAGCTATTTCCCTTCTTTGTGCAGCCCCTGTTAAACATTGTGACCCTCATTAGCAGATAATGTAATATCTCCATTAGTCGCTGGATTGAATGGCAGTCATTCTAGATTTGGCCTTTTCACATACGTCTGTCTTCCCCTAGTTAAACTGGTATCCCGCTTCCCATCAGAGTGGTGATTGTCGTGTTGTTACTTTTCTGCGTCACCAGAGCAAGAACAAATTTGACCTCATTTCCTAGACTCAAATAAGGGATAAGATATTCTTTACAAAAGCCCTCACTCTTTAGTTACTTATAACCTATCTGCATTCTCGATCCGGGAGGCCCTCTGTTTGGCCCAGTACTGCCAATGTCACCTAAAATACTTGAGTTCCCACATTGGTTCACTATTGCCCACGTCTTCAAATTTAGATGAGATCCGTCTTTAAAGACTTGTGTAAAGGGCTGTTCATAACTTTGTTACCATGTGCTCGTCGATCTCGATCGTATGTCTTATGTCACGCTCGGTTGATTTTTGAAGGTTTAAGTTCCAGCTGATCTGTTTAAAAAGATCCTCGGCCTCTTCCCAGTGTTCAGCTCACCTTCCGATGTTCTTTTATCTGCATTCTTTGGATATGCCCTTGTATGGTAGAAAGAAGGTCAAGGTTTCTTCAGACTGCTACCCTTTCTGTGTGAAAGAGATGCTCACTTCAGTGGCATTTCCTGCCATGAGTGCCTTTTGTTTCACAGAGAAAAGATTCATACTTCACTTACACTCTATTATCTTTTTAACTCGTTTATCTTTGTGTTGACCAGTTGGAATATCCCTTTAGTGTTTTCACAGAACATATGCATTCACTGGAATGTCCTGCTCCTTTGTTAAATTCAGCACTTTTATACAAGCACTGTGGGATGAATTCCAGGGGTTCAGCTTGTCGTTGTAAATTAGTCCTGTTGGATTTTTTTGTGGGCAGTAAGAATATCCAGCGTTGTTAATAGTGGATGACTGAATCAAGTTTAATTAAAAGGCAAAGATTCCTCAAGAGTACAACCAGCTGTGTGGAGCCAGCTTCTAAGTATACAGTCTGCTACTCTGCGGTTTTAGTTTGTCATTACTCTTGGGACCGGCCTATAAGAGTCTGCACACAGCTCATTCAACACTTTATCCCATTTTGAAGAAAGACATATTTATCTGTCTCCTTTTCTGCTTTCACACAACAGATTTAATTGCTCTTCTCACAAGAAAGATATTCTTTTACACGGGCCATTTCAGACTTATAGAAAATGTAGTTACTCTCACTTCCTTACATGGGAAAAATATTCTTATAAATCAGGGTAGCACCAGCATTGATAGATCTATTGGACAGTCAGTCTTTGTGTCATGTTTAACCCCCCCCCCAAAGTCACCCTCCCTTCTCTTTTCAGCAACTTGCTTCCTGTGCCTCTGGAGAGAATTTAACAGTTTACCAAACAGGAAGTGTGTGTGTGTCTGTGTGTGTGTATGGCCATGTAGTGTCACCCTTTTTTCTTTTTGACAAAAACTGTTTAAGGCAAAAAAATCTTTCTGAATTGTAACTTTACGGTAAAGTGAAACGTACTGATGATTATAAAACACAATATGAGCAGTAATAAACCTAAAGCAATATGAACATATTATCAACATTATTAGTGATATTTATTTATAATTGCTTGTTTATATTGCTTGAGTATTGACAGGTAGTAGAGTGTAGAAGGGAGTTTTCTTCAGCTGCTAAGAAACGTTAGAATTAGTTAGAACAACTGTGAATACAAATTTTAAAAGCAACACAATGGTTATAATAATCTTTCCTGGCTCAATGCTTGGGACCTGACCCTTTGCTTGGTCTTTCCCAATCCAGATTGCACAAAAGTATGACTCTCAGAAGGAAGAGGAGCTCAGGATCTGGATCGAGGACATCACTGGCTCTTCCATCGGCCCCGACTTCCAGAAAGGCTTGAAAAATGGAGTAATTCTGTGCGAGTAAGCAGAGGATTCATCAAATGCCCACCTCACTGGAACTCAATTGCTTTGATAACTGTTGTGAACATGTTCCAAAGACCTGAAAGTCTTGATCATATTGTTTATTAAATTTTCTTTCCACAGGCTCATTAACAAACTCCAACCAGGCTCTGTGAAAAAAATCAACAAGTCTGCACTGAACTGGCATCAGGTGAGATGAAGACAAATCCTTTTGAACCGACTCTGGGTGTGGTATATTGAGCCTGAAGAGAGCTATTGTGGCATATATATAGATGTTTACTTTTGCACAAAAAATCGAATAACTCTGAATCATGCCACGTCATGGCTCTTCAGTCCGTTTGGCTGTGTTGAAATATCTTTTTATTTCGTAGCAAGTGCTAGTAGTTTTGTACTATTTCTTTTTTCTTAACTGAGTTATAACTAAAGTTGCACAATTATTTGGAAGATAATTTGTCCCTAGAATATTAATATATCAATAATCTTTTGTCTGAATAACATTCTTACATGGACTCTGTTTATTAAATTTGTGTTTTTTAGCTGGAGAACCAGACAAACTTTATCAAAGCTACCACAACATACGGTTTGAAGCCCCATGATATTTTTGAAGCCAATGACCTATTTGAGAATGGAAACATGACACAAGTTCAGACAACACTGCTCGCCCTGGCTAGCATGGTAAGCCTTGAAATCTGTTTTCTGTCTTATTGTTTATATGTGTAGTTGGATATTTTTCACCTATTTAAATTACAGTGTAAAAAAACAGTTACACCCTGTCTTTTCTGCCAGGCCAAGACTAAAGGCTGCCAGTCCCGTGTTGATATTGGTGTTAAGTATGCTGACAAACAGGAGAGGATGTTTGATGAGGAGAAGATGAAGGCTGGACAGTGTGTCATTGGCCTACAGGTAGATCTTCATTCCTTTACCATAAGATGGTAGCAGTCTTCAGTTTTTTTAAAAGTTTATTTAGTACAGCTGTATGACATAGGTGAAGTTTCTATTGTTGTAGCTGTTAATCTAAGGCAATGGGGGGGGAATTGTTAAATTAACATAAATATATTTTTGACCTATAGGAAAAAACAATGCCAAAACATCTTTGTGTCAAAACTATTGTAAAGCTTTACTTTGTCTTTAATTATTTGAAAGAAAGAGCTGCTGAATGTTTTCACTGCTTCTTAGCCTCTATTTTCTGCTTTAGCCCCGTTTCTGAGAAATATAAGTTAATGGTAGGGCTACGTAAATACTGAACCATTCTCTCAATACAAATTGTTGTTTGCAGTGTAACTTGAGCCTAGTGTAACGGTCTCAGACGATTAACTAAATCTTGAAATCATCAGTCTGTTTAGTGAACATTGACATCAGCAGAGTGCACTGATGGCCTGCGACAACTTAAATCCACGTGTCATATTCTTTAAGTCTAGAGTTAGTTTTTTATTTTAATTCTCTTTGGATGTTTGTCTTTAGATGGGGACCAACAAGTGTGCCAGTCAGGCAGGTATGAACGCATATGGCACCAGGAGGCATTTATATGACCCAAAAGTTCAAATCCAGCCCCCAATGGACAACACGACCATCAGTCTGCAAATGGGAACCAACAAGGGAGCAAGTCAGGTATTGAAAGAAAACTAATAAAATGTATTTTATTGGACTACAGAGGAAAGAATCCGCAGGCTCCTTGGAATTACTTATTCACATTAATGACCTTGTTTTAGTCTTGTACAAAGATTTAAACTTCTGGATTGTCTGAAATGGCACCAAACATACAAATATTCATTTAGGTTCAATAAAATGTTTGGATGAAGTTTAATGACTTTATTATGAAGAGGAGGACAGTGAACTTAATCTGGTCATCTCTTCTCTACAGGCTGGGATGACTGCTCCTGGTACGCGAAGAGCTATTTATGACCAGAAACTGGGCACCGACAAGTGCGACAACAGCACCATGTCGCTACAGATGGGTTTCAGCCAGGGAGCCAATCAGAGTGGGCAGAACTTTGGGCTGGGAAGGCAGATCTATGATGCAAAATACTGTCCTAAAGCTGGAGAAGTCGCAGGTGATCAAAATGGAGCAGGTAGTGGTCGAGACTACATCCCTGATTACCAGGATGAGGGTTACCAAGGTTACCAGGAGGAAGAACAAGTGTACCAAGATGATGGAACAGATTACTAAGAGTTTTAGGGAGCAGTGCAAGGATATGGCTTTTGCATAAAGGTGGCATGTCGCATAAAAACCTCATCGTTTGCAAGTGGTTTTTATGTTTATAGGATGTTGCACCTTTTTTCTATTTTCTAGGCGATATATTTTTAGTATTGTATGAATATATGTATTGTATGTCATAAACCCTAATTGTACGAAATCATTCCTATGTAAACATATCTAAATGAATTCTTTTTCTACTTTTCCTCTTAGGATATATGTATATTTAAAGTTGCAGTAAAAAAAAATTGACTGGCCTCAACTTGTCTGTCAGATCAGCATTTTTTTCCCTTAATTTTTAAACTCTCCACTCCTACTGTAGTATGAGTTCTGGCTTGTGGGTTCATAAAAAGAGACATGAAACTAAAAGTGAAACATTAGGGAAGATCACCTAACACTACCCATGCTTATGTTCCTGTAATAACTGTATTATGTGTATAAACAATTCCTGTGAATGAAATGTACAATTGTTTTCTAGTATGTCAGTATCTTCTTCAATCCTTCAGTATTGCTCACTGATTTATTGCAATGATTTTCAGATAGACGAGGAAACTATCTAAGGATTTTGTTAAGTTTTTCATTTACTCTTTTAAAAAGATCCGTCTTTCCATGTTCATTGAATTCTTGTCACTTTCTAATCGAGGAAATGGTTTCTTTCTTTGAATAATCAGTTGAACTGGAGAGTATCACCTTGCTTTCTTTGGACTGAGTATGGGGAGGAGTGGATGAAATAGTACTCAAGTGAAGTTTTAGACATTTCAATCAAGTATACTGGATTTTCGTTTCCTGGTCAGTGAAACTTCTTTAAAGGGGTTGATATGTGAGCCAATCATTTTGTTACATTTGATCATTTTGATGTTATTTATGCATATTTGTGATTTGGTGGGAGGCGGGACGCTGTTTTGTACCTTGAAAACATTTGATATTAGACTATGCCTTCTTTTTGTATCCCTTGGCAATAGTTATGCCTGTCAGGAACAAATTGAAACGTAAGAGCAATATAATAAAATATATGTATTATCCTCTTTGTTCATTTGATTTGTTTTGGGTTATTAGAAGCTGGGTTGAATACTTGGCTCATTTCAGTTTTGTTAATGTAGCACCAATTTGCAATGCATGTCATCTCGGGGCAATTAAGGGATGCAGTCCAGTTCAAGTCAATTAGACTCTTAATTAATTGTAATACTGTCACAAACTAATAATTCCCATTTCCACAATGGAACAATTTATACAGAGTCAATCAATAAGGTTTCCTATCTGAGGAAATTGGGACACAGAATTTTCACTTCGGTCCAATTCCAAAAGTCATCTGTGAAAAGGGGGAAAAAAAAAACTTTCTTTAACATGATGGAAAACTTGTAGAGGGTGGACATCTACATTGACCAGATGGATTTTTAAATGGAATGACTTTTGGGGTTGCCCAATTGTAAGGAATTACAGTAGTCAAACCTTGAAGGAATAAATGCGTGTACTGGCTTTTCTGCACCACTCAGGCAGGATCTCCATCATTTTGGCAGCATTACAACGGTGAAAGGAGGCAGTCCTAGAAGCCTGTTTAATATGAGAGTCAAAGAACAGATTCTGGCAAAAATAACTCCATGGTTCCTAACTGTACTATAAGCCAAAAAATACAGTTTAGTCCCTGAAGTGCTCAGGTCCAAAGAGAACAACTTAATCTGAATGTTGATGCAGAAAATTCAGAGTTTTTCTGCATTTATGTCTCTGACACATGCTTGAAGTGTAACAAAATAAATGCAAGGTGTGACATGCCAACACAAATAATCATGCCAATATTTGTGTGTAAAAAAAGGCCTTTGTAAGATCATTGTTACATATGTATATAAAGCTGACCTGATCAATTATATAAACCTGCTGACTAGAGAATTTATTGTCAACCCAATTAAAAAATAGAATACTTCGTAAACTCTAGATATAAAAAAGTAGGATTTGCAGATACCTTAAACCACTACCACTAATCACAGAAGAACTTAGGATCCACCAAGTATAAAACTGAGAATTTTTTCATAATTCATAAAGAATTAGCTTCCATTTAATTTTACAGGTGATACAAATGAAAGAAAAGTAGGATTTGGACCATGTTTAGATGTTTAGCTCTGAGAAGCACTTTTATTAACAATAGTCTGCGATACCACTAAAAGAAAATTGTATTATTATTTAATTTATCATTCCAGATGCTCAGCAGTGGTGGATTGTAATGAATATTTCTAAATGTTTTTTTACTTTTATGACATTTTTCAAAACGAGAAAGGTCTGGACTTCAGGCACGCTTCCCAACAGTTGGACAGATTTTACTATGATGTCATACCGTTATAATAGCGGTAGTCTTGCTAAAGTATGCATGGTCTTCCCTTGAAAAGAATTTTGGATGGAAACATTGCTATTCTTAACCCTTACGATAAGTTTCAGCATTGATGGTACCTCTCCATTTGAACAAGCTGTCTATAGATGAATATGGCATCTGACACGTACACCTTATAACCAAACTCACTGATAAGTCCTATGTCCAGAGAACACAGAAATTTGTCGGATCACAAAAGTATTTTCCATTGTGCCTCAGTCATTTTCAAATTATGTTTGGTCCTGAGAATAAAGCATTTCTCGCCTCTTCTACTGTAAAATGACAGAATATTCCTGTTTTGATGAAAAATTTGCTTTAACCCTTTAAAGCCTGATCCAAGACTAAAACAAAACAGAAAATTCCTTTTTTTGTTTGAATTCCTCATTTGGCCTTTTAACCAAATATGTAAAAACAAAAAACAAAAATAATTTTTCAATATTAATAATTTATTACTATGCGAATACTCAAGATAATTTTTTGTGTAGTCTTCTGCCCCCTGTTATCAAGTATATCTCATTGTGTACAATAGGATTTTGAGCAAAGTTTTTACCATTAAATTATGCAAAAGGTGTCAGACGCAAAACATTTCAGAAACCGCATGTATCAAATATGATCCAATATGATCCAGATGATCACTGGGATCCAGATTGGATTTTTAGTCATCTCCTGTCCACAAGAATAGTATTAGATTCTCTGAATCTGTGTTAAATATTATGTTCTCTATTTGATGACTTCTCTGAAATATTAGCAACTTTTAAATGCTATTAATAGCAGGCTACATAATCTCTCTTAGTTTTTACTCGGACGAAACACTGTCCACCCTATTTTCATATCCTATAATATTGCTGCTCTTGCTGCCTATTAACCTAATTAACTGTTTGCCCAAGTTTGTCTACCATTTACTTTTACAGATTTTTCTTTGCCAACCTCTGCCATGTAGATTGTTTTAGCTGTGTTGTAGTTGTCAAATTCAAGATGACATTTTTCATTAAATAACAAAAGTTATATCTTCTATTTCTTATGAAATACTGGTTTGTGAAACTTAGAAGTGATTCTATTTTTTCTTGGGGGATTGTTTTGGGTTATGCTTCCTCTAGTTAAATTAATGCATTCCTTCCTGCTCTACAGGACAAAGATACATTTACTTTTTTTTTGTATAGGTCAGCCACTAATCACATATCTAATTAAATTAAATGAGTTAAATAACTAAATCGAATTCAAACGATATTGACTTTTTCCCAAATGAAGATGATATAAAAGTGATATCTACCTAATTACTCCGCCCGCAAAAGAGTGTAGAAAAAGGTTTGAAAAAATAAAAAGGAATATGTGATAAAGGTTATGAAAAATTTACGCTGGAAAGAGATTTGTCTATTATGTTATACAACTGCGCTCCCTGTTGTTCCTAGAATGTACTAATACCGGAAAACTGCGAATTCTAAAGTCTCGCGATATTAGGACTCACGAGACCGCTGCTCGTTCTTTTCCACCGGGTCGCAGGCAAGATGGTTGGTGCTCTTTCTATGTCAATGCTTTTCAAACTATAATCTTCAGCCATCGGAACCCAAATAACGCTGTTGAGGCCACTTAATTTAAGCATACAACAGCAACAACTGTTTGCTGACTATTTAGAGGGAAATCGTTGTTCAGAATAACAGATTACGTTTGTTCGCTATGTATTATCCATAGTAAAGGCCCTATGTGGCTAAGCTAAACCTGTGGTTAGCATTGACGATGGATATAATTAAACGTAGACGAGGATAGTAACTACAGTTTTTCACGCAACAATATGGGCATGTTTATTTTCAGGATGTTAAACTTAATTGTCTGTACTTTATCACGAACTTTCTGACCGTAAGTGATGTTTGTTTCTTCTAGGCAGATACCGAGATCAAGAAGAAGCGTACCTTCAGGAAGTTCACCTACAGAGGTGTGGATCTGGACCAGCTACTGGACATGTCTTAGTGAGTAACAGCATTGTTTCCCCTACAGGAGCAAATCCAAATCAGATTTTTCAGTTGGGATTCACCGTGTCAATTGGGATTACAGACCTTTGAGAATCTTACAAAATGTGTCATTTTACATTGAATAAGCAAAGCACCATGTTTTGTTGTAAGCATCTGAACATGTCTTATCCACTGTACATTGTGCTCTGGTACTACAGGTGCTGAAATGCATTTTTGTGGCAATCTGTCAAACATTTGATGAGTTTGTGAAGCAAGTTTGTCACTGATAGTTAAAGTACCCTCATATATTGAGTTGTGGGATGATGAAGGCAGCAACTCCCGCTGTTGGCAACAGCTCTTCAAATGTGTTGAAATTCCCCAGTCAAGTTATTCACATCACATATTCATAAGAATAGCGTTTGTTGGTGTATTGACAAGATATTTACAGGTTACATCCTTTACTTGACCAAAGATGATGTGTATATTATATGTTGTTGTCCTTTGTTTTTACCCTCTGTAGTGAGCAGCTGATGCAACTGTATTGTGCCCGCCAGAGAAGGAGGCTGAACCGTGGCCTTCGCCGCAAACAGCAGACCCTCCTCAAGCGACTGCGCAAGGCAAAGAAAGAGGCCCCCCCCATGGAGAAACCAGAGGTGGTGAAGACGCATCTGAGGGACATGGTCATCCTGCCTGAGATGGTTGGGTCAATGGTTGGAGTGTACAATGGCAAGACTTTCAACCAGGTTGAAATCAAGGTGAAGGAGTTTGCTGTTCTTTAAATAAGGGTTTTGTAGGTTGGATTTTGTGAAACCTAATAATTACTGTAAACAGACCATTTTATGATACATTTCTTTATGAGATACAGTTTTTTATTCAGTTGTAATTGTAATGTTGCGACAGTAATGATGAAATTGATAGAATACACGATGCATCAAATCAAATGCATCTAAACATAAACCTCACCAACAGATGCATCTGCCTAATTAAACATGTCATGGCAGAGCTTACAGTTGTAAAACACATTCAGCCTAAACTCCCTTTAATTCGTAGTGCTCATCATTTTGTATTGCATAGGTAATGCATAAATTCACAAAGATAGCACCAAAGTCTTGCCACTTTACTTGAGTAGAGTCATTTACTTTTTTCTTTATTTGTATATCCTCATCAGTTGTGTCAAGTGTAATTTATAACTAAATGATTTTCTCCCCCCTGCAGCCTGAGATGTGTGGTCATTATTTGGGAGAGTTCTCCATCACCTACAAGCCAGTCAAGCACGGTCGCCCTGGTATTGGAGCCACACACTCATCCCGTTTCATCCCTCTGAAGTAGAATGGCTGTGTTCTTTGTATAAATAAAAATAAAATAATGAACTGGGTTTCTCCCAAACATGTTGTGCATTGTATTTTTTTAAGAAATTGAATCAATTGACCTTTTTAGAGGAATTTTGCCATTTCGTATAGAGGTATTTTGAATTATTACAAAATAAATATGCACCGTATAAGTCATTTACTCTCTTAATGGGCAAAAACATATTTTAATAAGGGCAATTATACATTTAAAGGTGAAGGAAACACGTAAGACGCATTATTTTCACAAAACTTTCCAACAGTTTATCTGGATTGACTTTAACATTGATTATCAGTCCTTCAAAATATATGCCAATATTAAAATGCAGAAAACGAGCTGACATTGGTTAGGAGTATTCCGCTTCGCAAATGAACAGTATTAGCAGTACGTCTGGGTAGAAAGTACCGGTGTATACTCCATCAGGACAAGGGTTCCGCCTCTTTCCTATCCGAAAGACAGTCGCATCTGGGCCATGGATTCAACCTTTAGCAATCCCAAAATCTCTTTGACAACAAGCTAATATCTATAATTTCATTGAAGACAGAGTGGCCTCATAGGTAGGTGGAACACTTAACTGTTATATTATGTCTATGCCTCGTTAACCCTGATGTATTTTTTTAAAGAAAGCCAGCCACCGCTACTTAGCGGCTATCTAGCTTTGGAAGCTAGCTATTTAGCTTTAGTGCAAAAAATGACAGAAGAGGGCAGTCCTGTCAAAATATAGCGAAGCAAGATTATATAGAGATAGATGGTTTAGTTGGTAGTGGATTCTAACATTCTGGGCTTTCGCCATTCATTATCAATTGTAATTAACAGCGGTCCAGTTGAAAGTGATTATCCAAACGAACATGCCGGTGTTGGTTAAGACTTGCAACCGGAGAACAAAGATCCATTGTAGGCTAGCTAACGTCTGACTGTTACCATCAGGGGCGCCGGTAATATTACTAACTATTCCTCCAGCCTCAGTGTTAGCTTGTTAGAATGTATTGTGAATAAAATTTAATCAAATAATTTCTTCACATATATGTTGAGTTATATATTATGAAGCAAAGGCCATGTGAAGTGAAACGTCCATGGTCCGTAGAACTCCATAGCTAAAGACAACCAGTAATAACGTTGCATTTGCACTTGCACAGAGAAATGAAAAGTTTATCCACATGGCTGTTCTCTATCCAGGATTCTGACGTTAATTTATCCTCATCTTGAAGAAAATGTCATTTTAATTAAATAAACTTTTTAGAATAATGGTGATATAAGCTTCTGTTTGTCTTGGCTAATGTATGTGTTGTGAGTTCGGTGTTTCTGCACCATACTTTTAAGGTGCTCCACCGCAGACTAAGACCACTCAACAATAATTACCAGAGTTTAAATGTAAGAAAGGCCCTTGGACGTTCTGAGCATTACATTTTTTTTAAAAACTTTCCCACAACTGTTTGGTCACACTATTCTCTTTCCTCTTAAGATTATTTCTTTGCATTTGTTTGCTGGTTTATCTTAAATTATTTCATGTCACTTAAGACTGTCCTTTTTTAAATATGTTTGGGACACTGTCAAATACACCCACCCTTCAGAAACACAATTTGATTGCATCATAATATGAGAATTGACATGGAAAAAGTGAACACAGGCCAAGCACGACATGTTTATGATTTCAAAGTGTTTTCTCTGTTGTGCTTTGTTTGTAGGTTACAGAATTGGAGTTAGGTGTGGTGACCAGTGAATGCATAGAGTCAAGAAAGTCAAACTTTGTGAAAAAAAAGAGGGTATCTGGAAAAGGTAGAAAACCTATCATATATGTTTTTGTATATACTTATTAATATATGTATATAATGTGTGTATGTGGCATTTTGTTAATATAGGGGTTAAATTGTTCATGTTTAAAATATTTTTTCTTGAAGAATTCAGTTGTGCAGCTGTTCCATATTTTTGTTTTTGTTTTTTCTTTGTAATGTGCACATTCAGTTGTGTAACAATGAGCATGGCGGGTGTGGACGGGCTTTTGGACAGCACAGAAGTGGTGGAGATGGAAGATGTCCCATCTCAGTTCTTTGTGGAGAAACACTCTTGGGAGGGACTTCGTGATATTATCCATTGTAGCAGGAAGTACTCAGGTATGATTGCCAACAAGGCTCCCCATGACTTCCAGTTTGTGCAGAAGACTGATGAGAATGGACCCCACTCCCACCGGTTGTACTACCTCGGTAAGTTGATTGAAGCCTGATGTTGGTGTTCAGATTCTGATTTCTATGTTTGGCTCCCATGGACTTTATTTGCTATGTTTCTGTGGAGTTTTCCTACTTTAGGTAGTAGAATATGATGAATATTGTGATGTGAAACTAATACTAATACTGTATTAGATACAGTCCTTTCCGCTTGGTTTACCTTTTTGTGGTTTTCAAGGCTATTGTTCTCTATGTGCTTTACAGGAATGCCTTATGGGAGCAGAGAAAACTCACTACTCTACTCAGAAATCCCCAAAAAGATACGGAAAGAAGCACTCTTAGTGTTGTCATGGAAACAGATGCTGGACCACTTCCAGGTACACATTAACTTAGAAAATATTAATGGATGAGACACCATAAACACAAAATAAACAGAATGAGAGCCCGTCATCCTATGCACATTTTTGTGTGGATTCCTCTTGTGTGTGCAAAGTAAATGTAAATACTGTAGTTGCTAATTGAGTGTCTGGTGTCATAGGGGCATTAACCTTAATCTTTAAACTGACTTGTTACATGGTGGCTCTCCATGAGGAAGTCTGAGAAAATATAAGTTATCTCCTATGTATTTTAACTATTTAAAAATATAATTTAAGTTATACTTTGTATATATTTATCATAGACAATTTATAGATAGAAAGATAATGTGTTGTTATTTTTTTAGGTTTACCTTTGCTGCATTAAATGGGCTTGATTAGGAAAATACATTTTAAATATACAGTTTACAAATTTTTACAAGAACACTGTTCCACTGTTGGAATTTCTTAATGACAGCTAAAATTAAAAATGGTGACCCTTTCCCTTATTGTTTTAGATTTTCAACTTTCCATCGCTGGCTTTGGTTACCATTTAATTACGTTTTGCCAAATCTGAAGGGAAATATTTATATCATTGTCTGTGATTGGCTGTTATTATGAACACCTATGTACACCAAGATTCATCTATTAATGCAACAGTGGCTTAGCGAGCACAAGACTTTCGTTCATGTGTTGGCCACCACAGGGTAAAAAAACTACTTATTAATTAGTAGTTAATTCTCCATTTAAATCTTTTTTTGGGATGTGCTGTAAATGATTTTGCACAGTGTTTTGACTTTTATCAGTAATACAAGTTCCTTTTGGAAAATTATCTAAACTGTACACAGGAGTAAATATTGTGAGATTGCATAAGTTTATACAAAGTGAGCCGAGTAAATATTTGTGAGTGACTATCATTGTTTTTGTTAGACAGTAAAATATATTTACAAATCAAATCTCAAAAGTTCCTTTTAATCAGTTATTGTGTAGGTTTAACAGGTTGAACATCTTTTCCGGTTTCTCTAAGGCTACACCTCATCAGGGGGCCTACTCCCGGGAGGAGGAACTGCTGAGAGAACGTAAACGCTTGGGAGCATTTGGTATCACATCCTATGACTACCATTCTAAGACCGGCTTGTTCCTCTTTCAAGCCAGTAATAGCCTCTTTTACTGTCAAGATGGAGGCAACAATGGCTTCATTGTGAGTACAGTCCTGTTTGTGAATATACTTGTTTTAAAATGAAGAGGTATAGCTAATTTTTCTCATTCATCAAAATAGAATCAATTTATAAATGATTATTAGTTGTGAAGATTAAAATTCAACTTTGCATCAGAGGTTTTCATAAACTAACAGTATCACATTGTTATTTGATCATTGCTACAAAAATAGTTTGTCTTTTTTAAATGTAATAATGAAAAATCAGAATTGATTAAGTCCTGTTTGGCTGTTTGACTCACAATCGTCCACTCTTTACACACATTACACTAGGCACAAATCTCATCTACTGTTCTGTCCATCCTTATGCCTGTGTCTCTAAAATCATTCAGCGTTAAATATTTGAAAGGATATTTCAGTTCCCAAAATGGAGAAAGGCTTGCTTGATGTCCTTCCTTGATGTGAGGAAGTACATCCCTACCTTGAACTGTAAATTAAATTAAAATTCAATAAATTGAAACTTAAGGTTGTTTACAAAAATATGTACATTGTTGTATATTTGCTTGTGGAAAAGAATGAGGTTTGTTAGATTTAGATTGCCATAAATAATTAGAGATCGCTGTGTGGTAATGAATCTTATCCGTTCCTAATTTTTTCATGATTTGTATTTAGAGAATACTCTTTATTTTGCCTTTGACTGAGATTGTGTTTGTTGGTTTTAGCAGTCTTCTCCTGTAAAGCCAGTGGAGATCAAGACGCAGTGCTCAGGCACTCGAATGGACCCCAAAATTTGCCCTGGACACCCAGATTTTATAGCCTTTATCAATAACAATGACTTGTGGATAGCCAACATTAAGACAGGAGAGGAGAGGAGACTTACATACTGTCATAAAGGTTAGAAGGGTCTTTTTTCTTTATATATATATATATATATATATATTTATATATATAAACATAATATTTATATAATATGATTAATATTAATGTATGCAACTATTTCCTCCAGGTTTAGACAATGTTAAGGAAGATCCCAAGTCTGCAGGTGTAGCAACATTTGTCATCCAGGAAGAGTTTGACCGTTTCACTGGTTACTGGTGGAATCCGTCAGCAGCAGCAGGTCAAGCAACTCTACATTCAAAGCTAAAAATGTGCATACAATCTATATTGCCCTCAGTGTTGTCAAACATTTAACATTTCACCCTTCAGATGTTGAAGGAGGTAAAACTATGCAACTTTTGTATGAAGAAGTGGATGAGACAGAAGTTGAAATTATTCATGTTCCATCTCCGGCACTGGAGGAGAGGAAAGCAGACGCATACAGATATCCTCGTACTGGTCAGTACATCCCTGAAAATGCCATTTCTGAGTAGGGAACTCTTTAATTTGCCATTTCCAATAATGCAGTTTTCTTCTTTTTTTATTTTACAGGTAGCAAAAATCCCCAAGCTACCCTTAAACTAGCAGAGATCAAGACAGACCATCAAGGAAGAGTATGTTTTTACTCCCCTTTCTAATCGATGAACAGTGGACATGATTAGCTGATTCGATTTAGCTAACATATTTGTGTTTACACTTACAGATTGTGAGCACACAGGATAAGGAATTTGCGGTCCCCTTTACATCCTTGTTTCCTGGAACAGAATACATTGCTAGAGTAGGATGGACAAGTGATGGAAAATAGTGAGTGGTTTTATAAAGAAAAAAGGGTTATGTTGATCTTATTAAACTGTTCATCTGAATATACACCGGTAGAGTTGTTTGGATTAACTCTCTTTATAGCTTGCTAATTAGATAATCCAGCAACATAAAGCAATGTTTTGAGTGTCGTTTGCCTTGCGTTGTCCTAGTGGCTGGGCAGTGCTGTTGGATCGCAGTCAGAGGAATCTACAGCTTGTTTTATTGCCTCCAACCCTCTTCATTCCTGTCACTGAAGACCCAGCTCTGAGGCATGAGAGTCTGAAGGCTGTCCCCAGCAACACACAACCATATATAATCTACGAGGAGACCACTGATGTCTGGATAAATGTAAAGCATTTTACGTACCATGCTTCTTTGTCAACCCGAAAACAAACTCTAAATAGGATGTTTCCTTCTGTCAGTAAACGGCAGCCAACTGTTCTCTCTGTCTTTCTCTGTTTTCTCTTTTATGCAGGTACATGATATATTTTATCCCTTTATTCAAACAACAGAAGATGAGTTTTCTTTCATTTGGGTAAATGAGTCCAAATTAGGTTTCAGCCACCTTTATAAAATCACCTCCCTGCTACAGCCAGGCTGCAACCATTGGACAGAGGACTACCATCACATGGACAGTACGAGATAAAGACATGACTTTACAGAAAAAAAAGGAATGGATAGAATAAATAGAGAAAATATGAATTTAAAAGGCTTAAAATCTAATATGATTATATCTTCTAACTGTTAAGCTTCACAGTACTCTATTAGGGAGCATGAAGCTTCTGTTGTCTAAATATGTCTGTCATGTACATGTATTTTGCAGGAAACTTCAAATGTGCAATCAAAGAAGAAGTTACACTGACCAGTGGAGAATGGGAGGTCTTGGCAAGACATGGTTCCAAGGTAAGATTGACACTATTTCTGCTTAAAAATGCAAGCCCTTAAAAGGTACTACTGTTGGTTTGATTGAATTGAGTGTATTCTTTATATTGACGTTTAATTTAGCATTCATCTCTCCCTCACTAGATCTGGGTGAATGAGTCTACGAAGTTGGTATATTTCCAAGGCACCAGGGACACTCCTCTGGAGCACCACCTGTATGTGGTCAGCTATGAGTCACCAGGAGATGTGGTCAGACTAACAAAGCCAGGATTCTCTCATAGCTGCTCTGTTAGTCAGGTATATACTGTTTATGTACTGGCTTGTTTTCTTATGTCAATATCCCAAGAATTAGATGGAAAACAGTATAGATAATGAGAGGAACGTCCTTTTCTGACTAAAGGTGTGTGTTTTTACTGTGCAATAAATGTATCAAGTCAATTGCTGCAATTAAAATATGATTGATTAAAGTTAAACATACTCAGATTCAGAGTACGGTAAGTCTTTATGTCAAAGCCAGAGTGGTATTCATACACTTCTACGCAATATGTCTTCCATTGATATTGACTTAACATTTCTTAATTCATTCTTTGTTTTTCCCCTCATTCTTCAGAACTTTGACTTTTTTGTCAGCCACTACAGTAACGTGAGCACGCCACCTTGTGTTCATTTGTACAAACTCACTAACTCTGAAGATGAGCCACTACACATGGTTCCAGAGTTCTGGGCCAGCATGATGGAGTCTCCAGGTAAACAAACTGTTATAAATATCTTATTGCCTGTGTGGTTTTTAAGTATCTTTAAACAACACATTGGTTAGTTTTAAGTTGATTAATAAAATAATGGAGATGCTAATAGGTTTGTGTCAACTTTTAGTAAATACGTTATTTAAAATCTGGTTATAACTATGTTATAAACATATGTGATAGTGGTTTCATAATTCAATATCTGTGGTCATATTTTAACCACAGATAACCATGTTGCTGCTCACACACATTCTGTATTTTGGTATTATTTAGTGAACAGCTGTAACACTCTCTTGTGATAGAAATATCTAGCTTCCTTGTTTTTATCTCCACCAAGCAGCAAGTTCAGATCACGCTACATTCATCGTACATCTGAAGTTAAAATTGTGACTAATTATTTGTTGTTATTTCCCCCTTGGGGGTCCTTTCTGTGTGGAGTTTACATGTTCTCCACGCACTTGCATTGGTTCTCTACAGGTATTGAAAAAAAAAGTAATTAATCATTGTGATTTATTTATTTATTTTTGTCATTTGATCAATGACAGTCTCTATGACCTATAGGGATGTCTCCACAGCTGCAGCCGTGGGATATACTGTGCTCAAACATGTTCTTTTTTCGAGTCAAAGGCCTTAGTTGCTGTTTTCTGTAAGAACTCCAGACTATCAGTCACCACAAATAAAGACATTTTTGATTTGATTAGTATATTTTCAGGCTCTAAGTTATTTCAGGTCATGTTGTGCCTTGATTTTTCCGAGCAGCATCTGTCTGCCTCATCATATAACCATTATCCATGTGTATTCCAGGCTGCCCTGGAGATTACAATCCACCTGAGATTTTCGACTTTCCAGGAAAGTCAGGCTTCCAGTTGTATGGGATGGTATACAAGCCTCACAACCTTCAACCTGGCAGGAAACACCCAACAGTTATCTTTGTGTATGGGGGCCCACAGGTTTGTATTAGTTCTGATTGATGTCATAGTAGCCTGCCCTCTTATTATCTAATTTTGTTATACTTTTTATCTTGCATTTATCTGTTAACAAGGAAAATAAGTGCATATAAGAACCATTTTATCTTGTACATATTTAGGTGCAGCTGGTTAACAACTCCTTCAAGGGGATGAAGTACCTCCGTCTTAATACGTTGGCTTCTCTAGGCTATGCTGTGGTTGTCATTGATGGGAGGGGCTCCTGTCAAAGGGGCCTTGAATTTGAAGGAGCCCTGAAAAACAAAATGGTAGGTCTGTTTCTGGAAAAATCTATTAATACATTTAATAAACACATTTTTGTGTTGCAGTTAACATCACCCCTTTAACTCTCCAGGGTCAAGTGGAGATTGAAGATCAAGTTGAGGGATTGCACTATGTGGCAGACAAGTTCAACTTTGTGGACCTGAGCCGCATTGCAATCCATGGCTGGTCCTATGGTGGTTTTCTATCGCTTATGGGCCTCATCCAACGGCCCAACATCTTCAAAGTTAGCTCATTTCTTTTCTTTTCTTTTTTTTACTACACCCTTCCTTTTATTCTTAATTCACGAACTGCTAATCCTCCACTGACATGGCCTCAAACTATGAATCAGCTGTTGTGCCAAACCACAACACATGTCATGTCAAGGCACTTTAACGAAACGGATAATATCGACTTTGAACTGAAATCCAAATATTGGAAACGCTCATTCTCTAAACTGAATAAGTCATGCACTTCTTGTATAAGCCACATGGCGTCCTTGTTGGATAATTTATTGATTATTGGCCTACAATTAACATGTCTGATTGTTGGAGCATTGGTAAGAATTTAAGTTAGTATTTTCTTAACCTTTTTTATTATTTAAAAAAATGTACTCTTTAATACTATGTGTATCATATTTTAAGTATAGATTTGTCAGACCTACTGCATCACCCTATGGTTAAAACTATTTTTAAGTTATGATAGTTCAAACATGGGAAAAATATTGTGGTACAAAAAAAAGTTTTTGCAACAAAAATGTAATTTTTTAAGACATTTTGTTTGAGTAAAAAGAAAACATCTGATCTAAAAATTGAAAAAAAGAAATGTTTTTTCTGAATTATTCAGAGTGATACATGTTTACTTTCTAGTCAAACATGCAGTATATTTAAACACTTCCCTCCCATGTTTTCCACATTTAGCTGTCCTGACCAACATGACTCTTCCCAGCTTTGAGACCTTGTGTTTGTTTTTTTTTTTATTGTCAGTTGGCTATTGCAGGTGCCCCAGTTACTGTGTGGATGGCCTATGACACAGGCTACACAGAGCGTTATATGGATGTCCCTGAGAACAACCAGCAGGGCTACGAAGAAGGATCTGTAGCACTGCATGTGGACAAGTTGCCTAGCGAGTCAGTACATGCATTTTTATTTCTAAAAACGGGAAGAAACAGTGTAGTATTTTTCATACGGCATGTTCTAAGGGCATAGATATCATGCAACCTGGGGTAATGACAGGATAAATGACATATTATGACTTTTTTAACCTATGACTTTTTAACCTATTGTTTTGATTTAATACATTCCTATTTTCTTTGGCCAACCATTTGGTGGAGCACATTTTTCACTGATTATACTCGGTTATAGGATATACTAGAGGAAGTGCACTTGCCTAAATTATCTCTATAGTTAAGTTTACATATCCATCCATCCATGATCGTTACCGCTTATTCCCTAATGGGGTCACGGGGAGAACTGGAGCCTATCCCAGTGTGTGATGCCTGAATTAAGCAAGAGTGATGACATTTCCTTTTTTAAATTTCACACTTTCACCATAAAGTGTCACCCCAACTATCCATTACAAAAGCATTGATTCTGGTTGTTATTTCTGCAAAGGTATAAAAAAGGCTACAGGCTAGATTAAGCCAGTTGTGTAAGTTGAGAAACTAAGGATCTAACAAATGACATGTTGAAGCAATACCCTTAAATTGTCAGCTCATGTAAAGCATTACAACTATTTTGCACATTCTTTGGAGCAGTTAGGATTTAAAAATGTATGGCAGCAATATTTTTGTCTTCATTCTGATTAGTTTCAATGTTTTAATAACTTGTTTATGCTTGTCCTTGCAGGCCCAACCGGTTGCTCATTCTGCATGGGTTTCTAGATGAGAATGTGCACTTTTTCCACACCAATTTTTTGGTGTCTCAGATAATCCGTGCTGGAAAGCCTTACCAGCTTCAGGTTAGTGTCACTGTCATGTTTCTTTTATATAACAAGTGCAAAAGTCTCTTCCAAAAAATAAAATTCTCACTTCTGATGGCTCCCGTGGTTAATGTCACGAAGCTGTCTACAAAATACAAAATGTGTTCAGTCATAGAAATGAATGCTACTAAATTGTTATACATTTCATCACATATATATCTCATGCACTTTTTAAAAAGAATATTAAATTATCAAATTATTTCCCCTAAGTTGATGGTTGCTGTTTCAACTTTTTAGGTCTACCCCAATGAGCGGCACAGTATTCGCTGCCCTGAGTCTGGAGAGCACTATGAGATAATGCTGCTGCACTTTCTACAACAATACCTCTGAAATGAGACAATAGAGGAGACATGAAATCTACTTCCCTACTGTCTCTCCTCACATCCCGACCTTATGCCTATCTTTACTCCATCTTCATTCAGATATTTAAAAGCCACATGCTACAAATTCCGATGAATATGAACTTACAGTACCAATATGTTTTCCTTTTTTACTCTCTTTGTCTTGTTTTGTTACTCCTCCTGTCTCTACTGTGGACTCTCCTGTATACCAGCCAGAGTATGCTTTAAAAGCACAGATTTGGTGTATCAACCTGTAAAGCAGAACAAATACAAGGACATATGAAAAAAAACATTTGCTGGCCCTGTCGAATGCCTCACTTATATCTTCATCTTTATGATGGTCTTTGCCAAATGTTGTTGTGTAGCCCCCCCCCCCCTCCCACATGTTTTATTCACTTTTGTCCGTGTTAGAAAATAGGTTACAGTTCATGGATATGAAATGGAATCTACACAAACATTTTCAGACATGAGTTTCTGACACTACATGTACACATGTAAAATACAGTTTATCTTTCACATAAACAAAGACTCAACTCCTTTCACTCAGTGTTGAAAAATTCATACTTATTGTGACTGTACCATGCATTTTGTGGGAAAAAAAGTAGAAGGGAAGGAAGCTCAAGGCTCTTCCTGTGTCCACATATTTTAGTGTGTGTTATTTAGAATAAAATATTTTTATGGATTTTTATTCTTTGTTTTAAATGAGTGCTAATGGAAGGTGCTCATTGATATTTTTACCCCATACCCCCCCACCCCCCACCACCACCACTGCATTACATTGCTCAAGATGTCTGCTTGCCTTCTTAATATATAATTTATATTTGCCAAAGTACCTCTTGACTCTTGATCATGCTGGTATTTCCTTTTTTTACTGCAATAAAGACAACACAAAGGTGAGCACTGGAGTCTTACAACAGCTTTGTACCACCGAAATACAATTTGTACATGATAATGAATAAATGTATCAATCAGTCACACACATTTTCTACATTGTTCTCCTTTAAATTTTTATATCTGCATAATGTATATTTTCCCCCCCTTTTTTTGCTGTTGCCTGCAATCAAAGTAAAAAACAAATACTGGTTGGCTTCCTCCAGCCTTATGTGCAAGAGTCTACAGCTTTAAACCAAGTCACTTAAATATATGGTGTTTCTTAGCCCTGATTTTTCAACATGGAATTGTTTAATTTTTTATACACACAACTATAGGCTGAAATTGATACAAAAAACAACAACATTGAAATATGGCTTTTTTCCCCATCAAATAAGAGCAATGAGACATAAAAACAGCAATGCAAAATTAACAGAAAAATGTGTTTGATGTCAAAGCAGAACAAAGGACGTTAACTGGATTAAAACACTCAGAGAGTTCTAATTTCTTTCTGAACAGTGGGCTTTTGTCTTATATCTGCCTGCCACTACGCAGAAATGTTATGGTACTCATGCCTACGTGTGTCTACAGGCCCTCTGTTTACGATGAATTAACACCCCAAATTATCCACAGCTTTACCCCAGGTAAAATGTTTCTCTCTTTATTACCTCAGATTTCTTTATATGGATAGGTTAAACTGAACTTTACTTAATTAATTTTATATGTCTACTGTTTACAATGTTAATTTATACAATTATATCAAATGAACTGGCTCAATTTTGTCATATTAAGATGAAATTCTTTAAAACTAAATTTTCCTACCGCATATTATTTTTATCTATCTTAAAGGAAAAATAAGGGCTTAGAACAATTTATCATTTGTGATATGTGTGTACATATATACATATATATATATATATATATATATATATATATATATATATATGTAAAATGTGTAGGTGTTTATTTGTGTAGGTGTAGATATTTCTGCTCACCCCTCCCTTGAATCGATAACCAATTAACGGTCAGAGTGCAGGCTAATAAACTACTTCTCAGAGAGAACTAACTTATGTATCATAGGTAGTGAACTTACATTAAAAAGCAATAATCTCTACAAAGTACAATAGTTCTTTTATTTAGAAATCAGTGTTTGTGTTATGCGGTTCGTATATAGCTGTTAGTTGAGTGTACACCTCAAAGTCAAATGTGATGTCAACAAGCACTTCACCAGATCACAGAGGTTGATCTTCAAGCTGTAGTTAGTACTTGAAGGATCACCATGGATGAAGCACATTAACTGTAAGCCGGACAAGGAACTACGATTTGGTGCCCTGAAAATTAAAGTTGACATTTGGAAGCCACTAAGTTTCCCTCCAGGTAATATGACCAGGCAGCTGAACTGAAGCCTGCAGCAGTCAAGGCATGTGCTCTGTGAATAAAAGCTTTTATGCTATGTAATGTGTCGATAAAAAATAACCTGACAATAATAAAATTTAAAAAATCTTTTAAAACTATGGTTTAATTTTAATAAGTACAAAATCAGCAAAGTCTGGAACTCAGAAATTATTATTTTGTAGCTTGAAAAATTGATCGTTAAAAGTGCATTTCCACCATTATTAAAAAGTCATGGAGTAGGGATGTGTATTGCAATATTCTATCATTTAACAACATTCTTATGGAGACCAATTTCTACAGCTTTGTTTGATGTCAGCTGAGATAAAACCTTTATGCTGTATATATCTTTCTTTCAAATAATGCATTAAATTTGGCAGATCTAGACTTCTGGCAGACCAGTTAAGCAGAACGTGCTGCGGTCTCACTGAAAGAAGTAATACTTACAAATGTCAAAGCAAAGATAACAACATCTGTTAGTATATCTCAGAAATGGTGCTTTGCCATGTGTTTATTTGTGGTGGGTTTGAAGATATCAGGTTAATGCATTGCCACTCAGAGCAAATAATTCAGACAGCTGTGACATTTTTGTTTTTATTTGGTGTTTGAAATTGAAACGGGGAATCATTTGCTAATATAAAGCCTTATTTAGTGATGCACTTGGTTTTAAGGGGATTATATCATATTAAAGTATATTTTTGAATGTGACTACAACTTGTGATGCTTTGTAAAAAATTGACAAATATAGACATATTAGTTTAAAGTGATTTTATTGGCTCATTATGGCCAAATATGGTATTTTTTCTTCTTAAAAAACAAAACAATATAAATTACAAACAGAAAGCAGCAGAAATATATATATATTGATTCTTAAATAGGTGAAAATCTACATTAACAAACAAATCAGAGAAGAATGACATAAAAACAAATCATTGAAAGTTATATCTCTGAACACAGAAGACATTCTTTTAAAAACTATTTACAAAACTATGCCTTTCAACTTAGAAACAGTCAATGTGACTTATTACTAAAATCTCCACAGGGAAATTAAAAAAAGTTAAGAATATTTAGTTCTGATTAAATTTTGCTTTCAGAAAATACAGTAAAGTAAAGGCTGGAATGGTCTCTATCAGTGTTAACACAGTGTCTGCATCTGAACTCTGTTTGCAACAATGTATAACTTTACCTAACTTTAACACTAACCTCATGGTGATCATGAGGGCTATTCTTTGTTTTAATCAAGTCATGATTTGGTCCCGTTTTAGGTGTAGAAAGATTACCTGGCCTGCATGACATTTTGGCGTGTGATTTCTCTAATGTAACAGGTTTTCAGGTATATTAAAGCTGACTATACTGTATACGCACAACGTCACATGAATTCACTTGTCTTTTGCTTGATGAGAAGTCTCAGCTTGTAAGGAAACACATTATCGCTCAGAGCAAAACAGCAGGCTGGGACTTGCTTTGCGACGATCTTTTGAAAATGGACTCTTCTTTTATACCAGTAGACATTTTGCTATGACATATTAAATTACATTTCCCCTGCACACTTTATTTTTTCCTGGATCTCCGTCTGTGGGTTTAGATTAACGAGGAAGGAACTCATCCCATAAATAACATAGGAATGGAAACTCTTAACTTACTTACACATAGTTGTTTTAACTTCTGTTATGAGGCCCAAGTCCCTGGTCTGAACATTTCTTCACAGAGAGGCGAACAAGGAAATTAAACCTACCTCATAAAACAAGCACCAATAAAAAACAACATACTCCAGGATTGCTTCATACTTTTTCTGAAGTTATTCTCTTAGTCTCTGTTTACTCTTTATGACTTGTTGATTTCAGCAGGAGCAATCATCATTGTGCTGGATTTAAGAGGGTAATAGCGGCCTCTCCAGGTCTTCCAGAAGATGCCTTGTTTTCTCTGATGCCGCAGCTTAGGAGGAGGGCTCTGGAAGTATCTACCATTCAGGTTGGAGCGACCGCAGTTACTGAACCACCAACCACCTATAAAGATAATTACAATAAACCTTCTGGTTAACTGCTGTAAAATTGTTAAAACAGCAAATAAGCAATGAAACAAATTTGTGTCCACAGGGAATTAACTGTTGATATTTACCTGAAAGGTGTTTTGCGCAGTTGGTGTCAGTTTTCTGGTCATTGTCTTGGTCACGTGTGGAAAACAGCAAACCTGGAATGGCGTCAGTCCCCAAGGAACTCTCCAGGGTACTGAAAGTTCCGGTCTCTTGAATCAAAAGCGAATACTTGGTTTCTTTTCCGCCAAGTTGGAAAGGAAAGCGGACAGAGGCTATTTCATCCCCCCAGTCGGAGAGCTTGATGTTGAGGATGTAATCACCATCTTTAGCAATAGTGTGGATGTTTTCGAGACCCAACCAGAACTCTCCTGGGCAAAAAGAAAAAAAAACAAGTTGAGAATTTTGACAGTTGTTGCTCTCAACCTCTCTGATTAATTTTATGCTTACTAATGTTTTTTCGTGCTTACTATTGCTTGATTTTAATGGGCTTCGATATGGACAATGATGTAAGAAACTGTGTAATGTATATCTGACGGGGGACTAACCAGGTAACACCAGATAATGAAAGTGAGATAAAACCCCTAAGAGCATTTACCATTGAGACTTCCAAAGCCTCTTTCATAAGCTTCCCACAGCTGGTCAAAGTCCACTGAACCATCTTGGCGCCTTTGAATGACTGTCCATCCTCCATCTGAATTGAGAGAAACATAAGATGTTGATCAGAAAAACATGCTTCAGGTAAAACATCAGCTGAAAAATGAGTTTTCTCCACTCACCAGCTGTCATCTCACAGAAGACATTAATGGGCTCCGAGTCCACTGGCTGAATGATATAGACTCCACTGGTAGTCTCTCCTCTCAGAAATAGTTCATGACAGTCTGCTGCCATCTCTAAAAGAAGAATACAAGAAGAAAATTATAGGGTTAGAACAGCAGCCAGTAAAAGCTAGAAGCTAAAAGCTTCCTGAGTCAATGCCAAAGACGAAAAGCTGTTAAACAAAAATCAGGGCTTCCATTTTTTTTTTTTTTTTTGAGGTGATGACAGGCAATGTACGCCATATCTTGCTTTAAAGTGATATTTCTCAATTTGATCTGGTTTACAACACCCAGTTTTCATATGTAGGTCACTCATAGAGTATGTGCCTCTCTGAAACAGGGCTCTCTGCTATTCCCCGAGTACAGTGTTTGCATAATTTTGTTGTAGCAAAGGAAAGCTTATCACACCAAGTCCAGAGATAGAAATGTATATCTAATAATACCTTTGACCTAGCTCTGAAAAACACAGAATGGGTAACAAATAGTTTATTGGCATAAATATGACCTTTCTCCCAGTTCCCAAGCAGAATTCCCTCTCCCTCTTTACAGCTGCTTGGCCTTCTAAACTATTGAGTTACACCCCACCACCTTTAACATTCCTCAACCCCCTTTTCCTTATGTCTCTGATCCCCTTCCCATTTAGCTTGTCACATCCCCCTCACGTGCACAGCAGCAAGTTGGTGACGTAGATGTGCATGGCTGCTGCATGCATAGGCAATGTTCGCATATTGGTGTAGGGGGGGATGGGATGTGTTGATGTAAAAGCAGTTCAGTAAGCAAACCCAGGGACTCTGCTGCCAGTTGGAGCTGTCATTTGCTTAATGAATCACAAGTATATTGATATCTATCCTTTAACCTCTCTAATAAAGCTGACATAATGTGTATCCAAATAAGCCTTATTCTATTAATGATTTTTTTGCTGGATATTCATCTTCTGATTGTATTGGGAAAAGCTTTGGCTAATGGCTTGCTTGTGAAAAAGGACCTTTATTTCAGAGGGGGGGCCTCTTTTCCACTCGTGCCTATGACGTGGCACGCCATGGCTCCACATGGTATTTTTTGCATTTCTACTAGGGGTTGGCCCTAATTAACAGTTACAACTTTAGCACTCCATCAGGATTCCATTATTTCTGGGACTATAAATGTTGTAAATGCCTAATATACAAACCAATACTGCAGTCCAACACCGAGGTTTAGTTGGTTTACAATTGCCATAATTTCTTTCATTGTTGCCTCATGTTTATGTTGTGCATGTATGACATCATCCACCTATACTGTGTAGACCTGTGCTGACCTGAACCATGTAGGGCTGAATAGCTACTGATGGAAAAATGCCAAATAATGACTAGTCCCAGCTGGACTCTGTGTCATGGTCAGGGGTTTTCCTGAACTTTGGCACACTTCTTAATCAATTCAAAGTGAAAGACAGAGGAGAGGTTTATGTATCAGGATGGGGGAGGAGAAGATGTTCACAAAAGAGGAGGAGGGTTGTTTGACTGACTGATCTGGGGGAAAGGTTACTCATTCAACAGAGCCAAGCAAATATTCATTTTACACCCAAAAAAAGCGGGATGTGTAAAAGGGCAGAGGAAGCGAGTTTTTTTTTTTTTTAAGTGGAGGATATCTTTAAACATTTTTCAAATTAAATTAAGAGACCTTTATCATTTTTTTCTCTTCTTGGCTTAGACACAAGGCATATGTGAAACACTGCATAGAAGATGTATAAGACTGCTCCCTGCCTTCTCCAGGCTTTCTTCCTACTACATAGAATTGATCAGAATGATCAATCCAGTTAAACTGCTATGACCCAGACTAAATTCTCTCAGAGACCACTGAACTTTCTCCATTTTGAAACCTTGCCATATATATATTTTTTCAAGACTTTTTGAGTTCTCAGTGTCACTGTCAATTTAACGGTTTTTAAGACTAAAGAGTTAAAAATCAAATAAAAATAAGATGGAAAACAAAGTCTTTACTCTTCACTCATTCAATTATGATTACTTCCAGTGCAATCTAGTTTAAAGCAATCAGCCATAGTGGTACGGTCATGTCAGATGTAACTAAGTATTTGCTGTTTTACTGAGAGCCAAAGAGACAACTGACTAAGCTGTATCATTATCTTAATGTCAATTATCTCTAGTCTTCAGAACATTTTTAAATGAGATTTAGGTGATTAATAGCAAACCATTAAGATAAAAGGTTCTATTTCGCAACTTCCACCTGTTGCTGTTTCTGGCACCATGCAGAGTTCTTATAATTAGATTTCTTGATTTTAATTGTTACTGATTTAAGCTTCTTTATGTCCTCACCTAACAGATGGCTCACCACATTTGGCGTCATGCTTTGTGCTGTCGACTTAACTAAGTGTTAGGAGAGGATTTTTTACGCTGTTTGGCTTTACTTACCGGCTGGAGAGTCATGTTGTTCGGCGACGCCCCCCTGCACGGAACCCGCTGTGCTCTGTTGGCTGGATCTCTGTCTTGAATACTGGATCTGAAAATAATGCAAATCAACGATTAGATGTCAGAAAATATGACAATATAACAATTCATCACATTCAAATTACACTGATAAAGAGAGCAGAAACTTTTCCTGGCAATTTATGTTCAAATTCAGCTCTTACTTGGCTCTGCAGTGTCCTGATGCGCACATTTTGTTTGTCAAGCTTTTCCTGTTGAAGTCTGATGCGCTCCATCAGATCATCAATGCGTCTGCTCTGAGCCTCAAGCATGAGCTGGTAGAAGAAAAATCACAAGAACATCATTATCATCTTTTGCTCTTCTTCCTGGGCAAAAATTGTGTAACTGAATTAAACCACTGACATATGATATTTCTCTGCTGGAAATCAGATAACCCCCCTTCTTTTGAAATGTGGTTAAGAGAATTAAGAAATATGTATCTGGAGAAAATCAGATTTACCTTGTCTAACTTAGAAAGTCTATTCTATGATATCTGGCAACCAGTACTTAGCTCGATGGATAAATTTAAATGATATGCACTCTGTATGTATTTTACGCAAATGTTCTGAAATACCACCTGTTATTGTATGTTCTCACACGGTTGAGTGTGTGTTTGCTTGGGAAACTACTGTTGTGTGTTTTTCATGTTGGAGAACTATAAAATCAATAAAAATATAGTTTTTAAAAAAAGTAAGATATAAGTGACTAATGAAAATCAGTAGCTATGAGTAACGTTACTCATATCATTCAATTCAAAAGGCCTGGATACTGACTTTCATTCAATGATATACAGGCCTTTTCTAACCAACCGTGACATAGTTATGTAACTCCCTCATAGTCCAGGAGTGTGAATCCGACTTAAGAAGCCTTTCATCCCTATGTTATATTACTTCTTAAAAGGCACAACTTTCAGTGGTAGTTTCTACTGTGTTCTTCTATGGTGTTCTTGGCCATTACTATCGAGCTTGAAGAATGTTACAGCTGTAAAGAATTATGCACGCATTCTTGGCGCTGATGCTTGCACATCCTTTTGTCTGGCAGCCTTTGGGGTCTCCTTGCACGTACTGCACGAGCTCTTTTCATTCAAGCTTTTAACGCCCACCACTCAACCCACAGTTCACCCTCTGTGCTTGTCAAGTTAGTGTCCACAGAAAAAAAAGGATCAGCATAATAAGCTAGCATCCATTTAATACTGTCTATTCACTTTGGGAGTACTCATGACTAATGCAAGAACACTGTGTACCTTCTTGAACCTTTGTTTAAATAAATGCAATTGACATATGTTGAATACAAACATCATCTGTGCATCTTGACATGTCTTATCTTTCCTTATTGTCTACCCCACAGACTTGGTTTCATGCTCACCTGGATGTTGCTTGCGTCACTGTTGTTTTTGACAGCTCCGTTTACGACAGGCAGTGCAATGTCTCCCTGCAGCATGCTGTCCACCTTCTCCTCCAGCCGGCTCATCCTCTCACGCATAACGTTCTTTTCCTGCTGCACCTCCTCGACCTTTTCTCTCAGCTCTGCGGTGACGTTGAGCAGCTGCGCTTCTCTGTCCTCCACTCCCTGGGCTCGAGCCTTGAGGGCTTCTCCCTCCGCTCGAAGCTTCTGACTTTCCTTCCCCAGCTCGGTCACGGTGCGGTTGAAGACTTTCAACTTACTGAAAATATCCCGCACCTGGAGTTTGGTTTTGTCCACATGCTCCTTTAGCCCTTGGCCCAGTTGCAGCAGGCCATGGGCAATGACATTAACATCATCCCATGCTGCATACTGGACACGCTTCTCTTTGGCAGTACCAGCAGAGGGTGAGGTCCCTTTCCTTTCTAAGGGGAAACCTGTGGCCGTCAGCACCACGAAGCAAAGGGTTAGAGTTGCCAATGATGTCTTCATTGCTGCTCTTGTCCTAACCTGCTTAGGTCTTTCTTCAAATGATCTGTTTTCTAGTTGCAGAAGTGTGTAGTATCCTGCTCAGTCTCTTCCCGTCGGATGTGAAGCTCAGGCTCCACCATTATATAGTTTAAGAGCCTACAAGTCGAAGCCGCAAGCTGTCTGCCATTGGCTAGCTAAGGAGAGGGAGGGGTCAGTTCTACTCAGGTTTCTGTTCTCCCTCCACCTCTCTGTGAACTACTCATGCCAGAGACTGGGAAGGGATAAGTAAAAAAAAAAAAAAAGAATACTTTTTATTCTTTTTTCACCAAATCGTTTCCTGGTCGAATTCTAGCATATTATATCCCCTGAAGTGAAACAAACGTCCAAGGGGTGCTGTTGACATTATATTGAAATAATTTGAAATGTATTAATGATTACATCTGCTTGGTAAAGCCTTTTCTGAGTGAAAAGGCTAAGTGATTCATTCAATCATCTCAGTGAAACAAAACACACACACAAAGACAAAAAAAACACAAAAAATAGAGGATACAATTAATGTGACCACAGGCTCTGTAGGACATTTTAAATGTAAAGAGAAGAAATAATTTTGAGGAACATAAGAATGCAAAACTAAGTCAAACTTTGGTCTTATAAACACAAATTGATTTACTTAGCTGACAATGGATGTATACATATATATATATATATATGGATATATATACATGTGATAAATATACATATGATATATGTATGGGTGATATATACACGGATATATATATATGGATTTATATACATGTGTATGTATTAATTTGTTAATTTTAATATACAAACAATTCTTTATAATGTTACTAATGTATAAATGAAACACTGGTAAACAACAATTACATTAAATGAATTAATCAGGTAATGTGAAGCTACAAACAAACTTTATATCTGATTTTTACTCTTTTAATTTATCGAGCAATCATTGTTCTGTTGATAAAAAAGGTCAGGACAAAAAAGATCAACAGCATTTTATACAAAAAACCATACAAATAATAATTTCCAAATAATCTCTCTCTAGATAATGTGAGGAATGTATGTCAAGAGAGGGCTGTGTGTAATTTTTAACCAGAGGTGCTGCTTCGTAATGATCTGCTACTGGCAGGCTGGACAACGGTGAGAATTGGGGGAAAGTTCACATGGCAGAGAATGCCCACATTATAGCGGTAGGGTTTTCTAACAGGCTCTGTCTGGTAGCCTGCAGTTCAGAGTCTGTGTGATCTTGGGGCAGACCACAAAGAAAGAGCTGGGTTAACCCTTTCCTGTCTGCTGCCACGACTAAGTAGGTGAAAGGTAACTGGCAGCTTGCTGATTGTGCTGATGGGAAACTCAGGTGATGAATGTAGCAAAAAAAAGCATGGCCTTCCCCAAAGTGTTATGGTGAGGAATTCTTTATTCAGTTGTAAATTATGTTTATCTTTTAATGAGAACGCTGAAGTGAATTCAATCAGAAAAAACTCTGTTAAATTTGAATTACTTTGGTTTATTTCAGTCATTATTCAGTTGATTTGTTATGTTTATTATTCATGAGAGTCATGATATATTTTGTTGAAGGACAGAAAATTCACATACAGTGTCAAATACAAACTAATTTAAAGAAGCATATTTCAAACTTAGACTTATTTGCTTCTTTATTCTATTTAGGGCTTACAATTAACATAAAAAACAGTAACAGCATGCAGTGGCTTAAGTTTCTACTGCTGTACCATGTTCTGTAAGATCATATGTTTTGTATATTAAATATAATCTATGATATAAAAAGAATGAACAAAATATTTTGATGTGTTTTCTACATATAGAAGATACACAAATTAAGAAGGATAAAACCTTAATATTAAAGATACTACTGTCTGTAAATAGTATTCATAGCAGTATTGAAATAGATTAACTTTTATGCAACTTTTAAGAAACACCCCAAAAATTACATGTGCAAACATGCAATTACCATTCTCAGTAGGGAATGTATATGTGTCAGATGTTGTTGCACAAGTGTATTGAATAAACATTCCTTTAATTCATTTAGGCATGTGGGACTTTGTCTCTTCTGGATCTTCTGAAAGAGATTCATTAGCCACAAAAACTTATGTTTGTGATCATCACCGGATCCACACCTCTTCACAGCTGCTTATTCGATTTCCCAAACTGGGCACTCCCATCTCCAGCCAGTATGGTGACCTTTTACCCAGATTCCAAACCAAGAACATCTGTACAGCTCACAGCTTTAGTCATTTTTGAATGGATGGAAAAAATGAAGAAAAACAGGTGCTAGAGGCTTCTGAAGTCGTAAACCTCTGGTTCTCATTGATAGATCGTGATCCATGATAGTTTCCTTTTTTCAGGAAAATTCAGATGGATTTCCCATTTGTGTTTGCCTGGAACAAATTTCTGAATATATGTCGAACATATGTTTTGAACAATTTTAAAAATTAAAAATGAGGATGGAAGGAAATGTTGGAAAAATAATGTTCAACTTTTAGATATTCACCTGAATATGGTCTTTCCTGAGTATCCATGCGTGAACACTCTTAGCTTTATCCACTTTCCAGGTGAACAGACTACAATTCAGATTTCAACCTGAAGCGTAAGACTTGACCAGTTTATGTGAACATCTGATACTGCTCATTAGGCCTCTAAGTTATGGAAATTCAAGATTTCTTTTTGCTGGGATGTCATACTGTTAACTTGGTTCGATTGAGTGTTATAGAATTTTTTATTGAGTATTATAGAAAACTGTGTATGAATGTCAAAATACATAAAAAATAACAAAGGGGCTTAAAACTTTAGGATTTTTGTATAATTTATAACATAATTTGTAAAACAGTAATGCTTCCCAATGTGAGGTTTGTAAAACATTTCTCAACAGGTCCAATAAATGTTCTCCACTACACTCACCATACAACATAGAAGGTTACAAATGAATCAAGTAACAAGTTCCTGACCGGTACAGTTGCTCTGATTCATACACACCCTTGCATGAGAGGGAGGGTGTGAATCAGTGTTCCAGTTCCTATTCTTCAAGGTAGACACACTGCTGCCTTCTAGTGGTTCACAGCAAAGGCATGCAATTTCCATTGGTCAAGTCTTAACCCGTCTTCCTTTATGGAAGGGGGCCCACTAAGTGATTGCACAACGATTGTTGCCTCAGGACTTGGATACTGAATCTAACATAGCAACTAAAAGAAAAAGAAAAACGTTTATTTTACCCTCCAGCTGTCCTAGGGGATGAGCTTTGACTTGTTCAGCCCTCAGTTTAGTTCACTGCAAACAACCAGAAAGAGTAGGTTTAAAATAAATTTGATTGATTTTAATATCTTTACATTCCCAAGGTTTAAACCAAGTTGCTTTAGCAACCATCAACCGTTTATATAAAAATGATTTTATCAAATTAACTCTCAATATCTGCATAACTTCGCTGCAAAACCAAAAGTGTTCACATGAGGAAAAAAAAGACTCGTGACAAAAGACTTGTGTAATAGAAAATAATACATGATGTATGGTCCAGTGCCTTGTCTGTGGAGCTGCAAAGGGTGAATGAAAAGAAAAAGTGTTATACATCATCAGTGCACTTTATTATGTTTTCTTTTTATTCCGATATGAAGATACATTCCATTGACACAGATGTCGTTTTACCCCCCTTACATTACATGCTCAGCTTCAGCTAGCACAGACATGTGCTAGTGATATGTTTAAAAATGTGTTCTCATCATTCCCTCCATTTGACTGACAGCCATGTTATATTCAAAACTGTCATTCTAGTTGTAAAAAAAACTAACTATATCTGATGGATGATCAGAATACATCATGATCATACACTTGTATGCAAGGACACATGCACATACATATCCCTAAATTATTTTACTGCTTACTAAATGTGGCGTGCAGTTGCTAGGAAACAAAAGTACATCTTTTGCAGAGTTTCTGGAATGGAAAATTGAGACATATATTAACTGTGGGACATCTCAGCAGTTGTCTATACTATCACTGAGTGAATTACTGAATGTCTTAAGCAAATAGAGTGTCCCTATATTCCAAGCAACCAAACTAAGTGCCTTTAAATCTACAAACTTTATTAGACTTGATCCTCTTTCTACGTCCACTGTATAAAATCCAACGTATTAGGAAAATCAATACTACACAGAATTTTTACACATGGTTGGGACCTTTGGAGACAGGTTGATGAATTAGATGCATTTTTTTCCCTTGGCTGTGATCTTTTTTTATTTCTTGACAGAAAAGCCAGAGTTACACAACAGCTGTAAAATTAAAAACACAACTATGACTGCATGCAAACCACCAACAAGCAAAATAATAGACTAAGTTTAACTAGAGCCATGCATTTCAGCCAGATGAAGTAGGTTATTTGATCATTTTGACAGCCTGTTTTGTCATGCTGAAGTGTATTTTATTGATCTGCCTCTTAAATCTATTATTACAATCAATGTGATAATGATAATAACAACAATAATAACAATAGTAATACTTATTACTTATTTATTTATTTATTTATTTATTTATTTATTTATTTATTTATTTA